CTTGTGGCACACTATCCTCCAGTACAAATTTTGTTTGAGAAAGGAAATCTCTCTACAGAAACCAAAACAGTTCTGAAAGGTTCATTGTCCTCTTGTCTTCAGGAAGGTCTGATACCAGGTTCCCAATTTTGGGATGCTGCTAAGACTCTGAGAACACTCCTTGAAGAAGGATATTTTACTGGGAAGTTAAATGACGACAGTGGTGTAGTAATGCCTGGGGTACTTAAAAGTATGACCTCAGGGTCAGATTCTATTGGCCTAACACCAGGAGAGAATAGTGAATTGGCCCTCTCTGCTCTAGGTGGTTGTGTTTTCTACCTCAAAAAATGCTTGATTGATCAGGAGCTTCTATCAATGGCTAATTTTGAAGAATATTTTCCCTTGGATTCTAAAATGGTCACCACAGTAAAACCTGGTGCTGTCTTTACTAAAGCCAATCAGCGAATGGTGCTAGATGCAGTGACATTAAACAACTTGGAGATTTTCCTCAATGGGACAAATGGTTCTACTGAAGGGACTTTGCTAGAAAGGCTTGATACTTGTCATACTCCCTTTGGCAAGCGGCTCCTAAAACAATGGCTTTGTGCCCCCCTCTGTAGCCCTTGCGCTATAAGTGACCGCTTAGATGCTGTGGAAGACCTGATGGCCTTGCCTGACAAAGTCACTGAAGTTACAGATCTCCTAAAGAAGCTACCAGATCTTGAGAGGCTACTGAGTAAGATCCATAATATTGGATCTCCCCTAAAAAGCCAGAACCACCCAGACAGCAGGGCTATAATGTATGAAGAAACCACATACAGCAAAAAAAAGATTATTGATTTTCTTTCTGCTCTAGAAGGATTCAAAGTAATGTGTAAGATTATAGGGCTTATGGAGGATGTTGCTGATGATTTTAAGTCTAAAATCCTTAAGCAGGTTGTCACTCTACAGACAAAAAGTCCTGAAGGCTGCTTTCCTGATCTGAGCACAGAACTGAACCGATGGGATACTGCTTTTGACCACGAGAGGGCTCGGAGGACTGGACTCATTACTCCAAAGGCAGGATTTGACTCTGATTATGACCAAGCACTTGCTGACATACGGGAGAATGAACAGAGTCTCCTGGAATACTTAGATAAACAGCGCAGTCGGCTTGGATGCAGGACCATAGTCTACTGGGGAATTGGTAGGAACCGTTACCAGTTGGAGATTCCAGAGAATTTTACTACCCGCAATCTACCAGAAGAATATGAGTTGAAATCTACTAAAAAGGGCTGTAAACGATACTGGACCAAAACGATTGAGAAGAAGTTAGCTAATCTTATAAATGCTGAAGAACGTAGGGACATGTCTTTGAAGGACTGCATGAGGCGGCTGTTCTATAACTTTGATAAAAATTACAAGGACTGGCAGTCTGCTGTAGAATGCATTGCAGTACTGGGTAAGGCTTTAAACAACCCTGTTCCCTAGGCTTGGATTGATACAGCTTTGTGTCTCAGCTATACATCTCTAAACATGGGTGTGCATATTGACATGTATGCATACATTTTTGTTTTGAATCAGACGAACTACATTGCACAAGGCAATTGAAGTAACTGAAATTTGGATTTTAGCCATTAATAGCTTTGTGGCATTTTTTTGGAATAGCTGAATTATTGAGGGAAGATTTTTTTTCAGATTTCTTTTAAATGTTTAATGATACTAGGTCATTTGCTTTTTTGATTTGAGACAGAATTTCGAGTTCAAGCTTACCTTGAACTCCTGGCAATCTTCTTGCCTCAGCTCCTCAACTGCTAGGATTACTTGTAGGAGTAAGCCACTATTGCCTAGATTTACAATTTAATTTGCCATGCTAGGGATGAAATCTAGAACCTTGCACATGCTAGGCAAACACTGCCACTAAGCCAACTCTTGACCCCAAATTGCTTTTATAATTGAGGTTTTGATTTTTTTTAAGCAGAAATTTGGTAATCTTTATATATCAGGGCTTTAAAATATGGAAGCCAGAATTTGTTCTAGGTTCCTCCTCACCTTTTTGATGGTGTGGGGGACTGAAGCAAGTGCTTCAAGTATTTGTCCACTGAACTACAACCCTAAGGTACTATACTGAGACTGTAACCCTCATCTGAACACAATTATTAAATGGACTGAACAGTAAAATCCTTTCACAGCACAGATATTCTAAGTTGGTCTCACTTTCTGGCTGTTCCCCAGCACTAGCTATAAGGTCCTATCACATTGTGTGCTGACCTTGAACTCAGAGATTCCCCCTTGCCTCTGTTTCCTAAGTGCCCGGATTAAAGGCTCACACCTTTAGATAGACCTCCCAGCTGGTCTATCTCTTATTCCTTATTATATAAGCAGCCACCCTCATGGGGATGTGGAGGAGAAGAGAGGACTTTCAGTCACAGCATTTTGTTGTTCTAAAATGGGCTCTACTACGTGGCTTTCCAAGTGCTGGGATTAAAGGTGTTTGGTATCATGCCTGGCACTAAGAGCATTTTAGGACAAAATAGAACATAAAGTAAACATACTTTACTGAGTAGTACAGTACCTTTTGTGTGTGTTAGGGATTGTGCTTGTTACAGTTCCTGTGGAGATGATAGCTTAGTGGGAATTTGCTCTCCTACCGTGCAGATCCTGGGGATTGAACTTAGGTCATTGGGCTTGGTGGCAAGCACCTTTGGCCTGCTGAACCATCTTGCTGGCCCATTTTTAAAAAGACATTTTATAGAAGCTAGAACAAGTACTGTGTAGTGGGTATGATAATGTATACCTAGCAAGAAATGAACAAAATGATGCTTTACTTTTTTCTTCTTTTGACAGATGTCTTACTGTGCCTGGCTAACTATAGTCAAGGAGGAGATGGTCCAATGTGTCGCCCAGAAATTCTATTACCAGGAGAAGACAGACACCCCTTCCTAGAGCTTAAAGGGTCACGGCATCCCTGCATTACCAAGACTTTTTTTGGAGATGATTTTATTCCTAATGACATCCTGATAGGCTGTGAAGAAGAAGAAGAAAATGGAAAAGCCTATTGTGTGCTTGTTACTGGACCAAATATGGGGGGCAAATCTACACTCATAAGACAGGTAATTTACCCTTCATGTTCTATTAATTAGAAAGTAGTTGTAAGGTGAGGGGCAAATAGACTCTAGTCCATTTTCCAGATAGCACAAAGTCACATAAGAGGGAAACTAGTTGCATTTGTCTCAAGGTGGTAAACACACAATTAGATGAGCGAGGCCCTGGCTTTGATTTTCATGACCTCAACAAAGATAGAGGGGGAGGTGATGAGGGTCTTTGACTTGACTAAATTTAGAAAGTACATTCAAAATGAACAAAATTGTAGAGATTATATAATAAAATAATGATACTGGTTTATTTTGATTCTGGGGATTGAGTCCAGAGCCTCATGTGTGTACCTGTTCTTTTTGTTGGGTTTCTCTGTGTAACAGTCTTAGCTGTCTTGGAACTAGCTCTTATAGACCAGACTTGTCTTGAACTCAAGAGATCCTGCCTCCTGAGTCTTGGGATTAAAGGTGTTCGTTACTACTGCCTGGCATGTGTACATGTTCATATGGCTGAGCACATCCTTCTATCTGTACTGTTCTTCTTCCCCAGGACTGTTATAAAATTAACTACTTAGAGGAAACAAAGCAGCCATTTTGACATATTTGTCTTTTCACTAGACTTAGCCAACCACAGAGCTAAATTTTAAATTTCCAAAAGACTGTAAAGAAATCAAATGTTTGTTAGGCTTTACTTATATTGAGTGCCAAATTCGTACATGAGGACTCTTGAGTCAAATGTGTACTATGTATAGGTTCTCTTAATACTAATCATGACATTCCTTTCCTCTACCTTCACAGGCTGGTCTATTGGCTGTAATGGCCCAGATGGGTTGTTATGTACCTGCTGAAGTGTGTCGGCTCACACCAGTAGATAGAGTGTTTACTAGACTTGGTGCCTCAGATAGGATAATGTCAGGTGAGTTGTTCTTTCTCCTCCACCCACCCACCCCTAAGGCAAGGATAAAACTTGGCATTATGTAAAAGTCAAACTTTAAAAACATGTTAAAAGTTACAAATTTTGTGGTTTCACCTCTTGCTTGTCATATTCAAACAAGATATAATCTGTTGTTAATAGTCCTGTTTCCTTTTTTAGGTGAAAGTACATTTTTTGTTGAACTGAGTGAAACTGCCAGCATACTTAGGCACGCAACAGTCCATTCTCTGGTGCTTGTGGATGAGTTAGGTAAGAAGCAGCTTTGTAGTGCTCAGGCTGCTCCTGGCACCCTGTCATGAGGTGCACATCCCCTAATGCACAGTACATTTCACTTTCACAGGAAGAGGAACTGCAACTTTTGATGGGACAGCAATAGCCAATGCAGTTGTTAAAGAACTTGCTGAAACCATAAAGTGTCGAACATTGTTTTCTACACACTATCATTCATTAGTAGAAGACTATTCTAAAAACGTTTCTGTGCGCCTAGGACACATGGTAGGTGGAATTACCCAGGCATTTTTCAGTTGGCAGCAAATAAATCAGAGCTGTAATAAAATAGTTTTTCTTTCTTGAAGGCTTGCATGGTAGAAAATGAATGTGAGGATCCCAGCCAGGAAACTATTACCTTCCTCTATAAATTCATTAAGGGAGCCTGTCCCAAGAGCTATGGTTTTAATGCAGCAAGGCTTGCTAATCTTCCGGAGGAGGTTATTCAAAAGGGACACAGAAAAGCAAGAGAATTTGAGAAGATGAATCAGTCATTACGACTATTTCGGTAATTATTTCTGAATAAAGAATACAATTTTCCTATAGCTGACTTTGTTGGAAGGCCTGTATATAGACAAAATGAAATAATTAAATTTTTTTTTTTTTTAAAGGGAAGTTTGTCTGGCTAGTGAAAAGTCGACTCTAGATGCTGAAGCTATCCATAGGTTGCTGGCTTTGATTAAAGAATTGTAGACTACATTGGAAGCTGAGTTGACTTTTGACAAAGGTGGTAAATTCAGACAACATTATGATCTAATAAACTTTATTTTTTAAAAATGACCATTTTTCCATTTTCTTTCTAGGAAATTAAACCCTTTTAATTCTCATCTACCTTCTACATAATGGTTATTGAATACTCCACAATATATTAAGTCTAGATGTTATGGTACATGCATACACTTTCAGGCTGTTTATACCCACTGTCACCAATACACATAAATGGGAGGGGGAGCTATGAAACTGTATAGGGCTGTATATATACTGGTCTCAGCTTAATGTAGGAAACTTTTAATTTCCAGCCATCTTGTCTAAACTGTTCAAATAAAAACTATGAACAGAATTCAAATACAGGCCTGTTTTGAAGAGACTTTCTAATAAGTGAACTTTAAAACATAGTAGTTTTTACCTTTCACAAAACTGAGATACAAGAATACTTTTGTTTACAGTGCATCCCTTCCTAGGAAGTCTCATTAAAACACACTCAACTTTTTTTCTAGGGATGAATTTTTTTTTTTTTTTTGAATGCTGCACAGGAGAGGGAAGGAAATAATAGTTTTAACTTTTCTTAAAGGATACCAGAAACATTGCTGGATATAATTTAAGATTAGTGTTTTTCTCTTTCATAGAAAGAACGTACATACTGGGACATGAGTACAGTTACAGCAAGTCTAGGTGTGCTAACAAAACAGGGCACATTCAAGTACAATAAGATTTTGCTTGAAATTAAAAACAAACTACATGAGATTAAAGCATTAAAATCATATTCTCAATCTGAATACATGTTAAAAAAATCAATGCAGAAGTGCTAGCTCACATTTTTACCATATTACAAAAGCAATTGGTACCCATGTCCATAAAGGCAGCAACAAAGCTGCTTGTCTATTTGAAGATTACTACTGCAAATCGGACTGCATTCAATGCTAGTTGTAAAAACACCAGCTTTTTCAGAAGTTGGTATCTGTACAGAATTGCAGCTTCACTTCTGTCCCTTCAAAAGTCTTTACACAGTAATGCTAAAATACCCAGCTTTGAGATCCTGAGTCAATATATTGCCACTTTCTTTTTGGTAGCTTGAGCTTCATAGTGTCAACTGACCTTGTGTATCCATCTTTTCAGTACAGTCTCTTTCTGTAGCATGGGCAAGTATTTTAAATCTTCCAAAAAAAAAATGTTTTTAAGTTACGATGTTAGAATGACAGGACTTTTTCTTTAGGGAGGAATTCAGTTGTGCTGCAACGTATTAGATTCTATAGGTGGAGCAGAATCATATAATGTGTCTGTATCGTGTGTAGGCTCACCAGCTAATGTACAAGGGTTGGACAGTGTTCCAGCACCACAGTCACAGAAAAACCTAAAGCAAAATGAAAATCCAAAAATTAGCAAAGTGAAGGGAAGTAACTGGGCAATATAGCAACAAGTATTCTACGTACCTATCATGTCTAATAAATTCTACATCATGTCCCTGATGGCACTTCTTAATGCAGTTCACACATATGGCATTTCGATCTGTGGTGTTACAAGTATGACATCTAAAAATCAAAACATTGTATTACTGAGCTTGTCAGGAATTTAAAACAGTGCGTTTTATCACTCATGACCTTTACCTGAATTCTGTGGCTGGCTATAGTCTAGACCAAAAGGAAACTGTAGTATTGTGTGTGTCTTAGGAAAATGGAACAACCTGAGTTATAAATAACATGGTGGAAATGTTACTTTAAAACAGTCCCAGCCAGCACTTGAAAAGCAAAGACAGGTAGATTTCTGTGAGTTCAAGGCCAGCCTGGTCTGTAACTTAGTAAATACTTCTATGATGACATCAGTTAACAAGTAGTGCTTTCCCTCCCCAGTAACAACAGAACAAAAGATTGTAGGCAATGACAACTTAAAGGGAATCACTAACTTCCACTTTTCTGTATTCAAGTAATTTAGAAATATACCTGTAGAAGTCATGCATGGGATAGCTGGTATAACTTGATATTTTATATAAACATTGTCCTCTACTAACAGCCTTTTCTATGGCATCTTGATTGTTCATTATTTTGTTATCTGTAAAAACAAAAGTATTTTCAACAGCTAGCCAAGGATACAATTATATGTAAGAAACTAAGAACAGAAATATGTTTTTCTTGTTTAAAATATCCCAACTCTTAGAACAAGCTTAAGCCAAACTCAAAACTGGTCATTTAAAATTGCTGCTAACGTCGAAAGCGACAGAAGGAATTAACAATGACTTCCAACTCCCATTTTTTGAGTGCTTAGAAGAACAGACTCCAACATACCTTTCATTGTCACATTAACACCAGATGCTAAAAATAAGCCTCCAAATCGGTTGTTAAAAATTTGATTGCCTTCTAGTGTTGCAGTTGCATGATTTGTAATTTCAATACCTGAAGTGAAATTTACAAACAAGTAGATGCATCATCACTGTACACTGTTGATTTGTTATTTGCTTTTTGTTTTTCAAGACAGGGTTTCTCTAACAGCCCTGGCTGTCCTGGAACTCTCACTGTAGACCAGGCTGGGCTCGAACTCACAGAGATCCACCTGCCTCTGCCTCCTAAATGATGGGATTAAAGGGGTGTGTACCGCTACCACTTTATACTGGCCACTTATTCTTAAAGAATCTCCAAATTAGGACGGATGTAAGCTGGTAGTTTCACATTAAATTAGTTTGCTTACTATCTAAAGAACAAATTGCAAGTATTTTAATCATCAGCAGTAACATGCACTTTTCCCCGATGACAGAGACATGGTCACAAGGACAAGCAAACTGGGGAATAATACTGTTAACAAGAGAAAGGGCCTATGAGTGTAAAAATTTACCGGACTGTTTAACAGATAAAGGGAGATTGGGATAAAAGATAATCAAGGGTACAGTACCCAGAAGTATGCTGAAAGTTTTCATATTAGAAAAGCTGCTAAATAGTTATTTGAAGTAATTAAAGTAAGCTTTTTTTTTTCACTTTTGACTCAAATTTATCTGTATTTCCAATCTGACTGTAAATTATTTTTCGGTTTTTTTGAGACAGGGTTTCTGTGTGTAACAGCTCTAGCTGTCCTGGAATTTGCTCCGTAGACCAGGCCAGCCTCAGACTCACAGAGATCCACCTGCCTCTGCCGTCTCAGTGCTGGGATTAAAGACATGCACCACCACTGCCCAGCCTGACTACAGATTTATTCCAGTTAATGTTCAAATGTTAAGAGTGGTTCCTTGAAGCAAGGTGGTGGTGGCACACACCAAGGTGGATGGGTATGTATGGATCTCTTGAGTTTTAAGACAACCTGGTCTACAGAGAGAATTCCAGGACAGCCAAGGTTGCAGAGAAAGGTTGGCCTAGAATCTTGAATAGATTCTTTCTTACTAACCAAATAAAATACAAGAAAACCTTTAATTACAGGTTTAAAACAAGTCACAGATAAAGAATACAAACCTGCCGCAAATCCATCAAATATTCTGTTTTTCCTTAAGACTGGATGACTATTAGTGCTGATAAGAACACCTGCTTGAGCGTTCCTGAAAATATCATTTTCTTCAAGGAGACCTATAATTAAAATACTTAGATTAAAGCTAATGTATACAGCAAACATTGTTGAAACAGGGTCTTAAGATAGCCCAAGGTTGGCCTCCTGAGTTACAGGCATGTACCATCATCATGCCTGGAGCATACAGGGGCTAACTTGGCTAGCATCTCATGGTATCTGGCTCCCTCCTGTTTAATAACTATATTATAATTTGTAGACTTCATTTTCCTCATTCCTGTCTCATCTGACACGCTCTTTTTCTGCTCATAAAATTAATTTCTGAATGGTCTGAAATCTACTCGCATTTTAAGTTTTTTAAGATTAGTTGACTTGTCTGACTACATTACTGTGCATTTGTGAACCTTTCACAAATGACTTGCACTCTTTTTCGTTCTGTCACTTCCTCTGTGAGGTTTTCACACCTTACACCACTATGAAAGTGCCAAGGACTTCATCCTTCAAATACTTGTATTACTAGGTATGAGTGGGTAAATTACTTTCATGGTACATGAAAAAGTAATTTACATGTTACGCTAGTAAGTAACAGCTATTACACAGACAACCTGCAGTTAAGAGTGCTGGCTGCTTTTTCAGAAGTCTTGGGTTTGATTCCCAACACCATATGGTGGCTTATAACCACTCCTTAACTCCAGTTTCAGGGGATCCAAAGCCCTCTTCTGGCCTCTGTAAGTATCAGGTATGCAAGAGATGTGCAGACTTTCATAGTAAGACCACTATCTGTTTTTGGTACAGTAAGTTATATACACGGGTGTTTTTGTTTCCAGAAAGTAGACATTTTTATTTCAGTAGACATTTGACCTCTACTATTTCCGGGCACTGCATTGTATCTCACTGCAATGTTCTTTCATCTTTCCCCTTGCAGTGTTAATTGTATTAACCCAATCTACAACTGAACACCAATACATTCCCTCTGATTTTTATCTGTATTTTTGTGTGCCATATGCAAGCCTGGTGCTCAGAGAGGTCTAACATGGACATTAACAGAGAGCCACCATGTATATGCTGGAACTTGAACCCAGGTCCTCTGCAGGAACAGATAGTATTAATCACTGAGCCATCACTCCCGCGCCATTCCTACTCTTTTAGACATATAGTTGTGTTCATGTATTAACTTCTCGCCTATATTACACCAAGTCCCTCCTTCTAACCAGCTTGCTTGGCTTCACTCACTTATTGAGTATGTATATGAATGCAGGTGTGTGTATGTTGAGGTCTTGGGCTACCTTGTGGGATATGGGGACTAAATCCAGGTCCTCAGGCTTGTGCACAAGCACCTCTACACTGTGCTGTCTTCATAGCCCTCTAATGCTGTGAAGATAGTTAAAACCCCCACTGCATATAGAAAACCTCTTAGCCACCCTTAGCTCTCTTCACTTCTTGCACCTTTTTCAGTTTCCCTCAGATTTTGTAAGCAATGTGCCTTTCCATTTAATCGTAGATTTTATGGGTATCATAATTTTTATTTATGGTCTTTAGCTATTTCTACCAGTGGTTGGTACAAATATTCAATGAGGTATGACAAAATAGGTCAAAGGCAAACAATTATAATTGGAAAGCCCTCCCTCTACCACTTGAATATTTTGACAGCTCATTTTACTGTAAGAACTTTTGCTTAATACCCAACAATTAAAACCAGCCCCACTCTACATCTTATCTCCCCGCCACACACACCAAAACTGGCTGTCCTGGACCTAGTTGTAGACCAGGCTGGCCTCAAAATCACAGAAACCCACCTGTCTCTGCCCCAAGTGCTGGGATTAAAGGTGAGCACCACTGCCTGGTGCTCACACTCTCTCTCTGTCTCTTTCTGAAGACAGTTTCCACTAAATCACACAGGCTTCAAAGTGCTGAGATTAGAGGTGTAAGCCACTACAGTTGGCTTGTCCTCACTGTATTTTATAAAGACTATGAGCATGTCAATTTTGAATTATTAAATCTAGCCTCTTTGAGAGTCTACATCACTGCTATTAACTTACTATATTTCTTTCATGTTGGGTAATACAGAATTTTGGGTGTTGGGTTGTTGACGTAGAAACTGTGCTTGGCTCTCAGCACTGTCTCATACAGTCTGCAAAGGGTGACCAATGTAGGACTAGTGCCTCAAGGCAAACTGGGCTGGCTTTATGGACCAGGATCAAGTTGGCTTTGTTAATTTAGTTCTCCAACAGTTACAAAATCAACACGTGTTTGCTATAAAGAGTTGCGTGTACTTTACATACTTGTCACATCTACTTCTGTAACTTGATTTTAATGTTTATTAGAATAATAAACGGACCAGAGTGAGGATGTGCAACTCTACTTTCAAAAAGCTTTACTGACAACTGGCACAGAGTCAAGGTAGTTACAAAAGATGGAAATACTTTACATATTCATTTATTTAATTCTAGGCACTAATTTCCTAACCATCTAAAAGTAAGGAAAATGTTCATCCACTTGTAACATTTTAGTTGGCAGTGTCACTGATCATTAAAGATATAGAAGAACAACAGAAAACTGGGTTTTTTACTAATGCAAAATTAACAACAATACCTCGACCCCCATTAAATATACAGATGCCACCATCTCTTCCATCATGGATTTTATTTCTTCTTAGTGTAGGATTACTATCTGTCTTAATCCAGACTCCAGCCATTGCATTGTCAAATATTTCATTGTCTTCTATACAGCCTAGACCTATAAATGTAAAATTTAGGTACATTATTTAGAAAGCATATTTCTAAAGTTTATTAACACAGAAAAATATGATGGATTAAACATACCAGAATTATAAACTAGAATTCCACCATTCTGTCCTCCCCAAATTTTGTTGCGTCTAATTTTAGGGTTGCTTCCAGTCCTATGGATAAGAAAGAAATACCATTTAAGTCAATCATTCTCACTCAGTAACTCTTCTATAACTCTGACAAGCATCACTAATCACGGCAAGAATGAACTAACAGGCCAGTGACATGGCTTAGCACCTGATGACAATGCTGATGACCTGAAACCACATGGGGAAAGCAGAACTGGGTTGAAAGTTGTCTCTGAACTCCACTTCTGTGCCTTTGCACATATACCTGCCCAAATGCATACCCAAAATAAAAATTCTTTATAAGTGGTTTGATTAACCTTGCTTTTCCCATAGAACTTCAGCTTGTATTATTCTGCTATAGAGTATCACTACAGAGCTCTATAACTAAGCTAAGCTGAAGTTATATGACTTTATAGTTCTTCATACATGAATGAAGTTAAAGGATGAATTTATAATCATTGAGACTCTTAGGAGTCTAGGGCCAGGCATGGTGAGTGATATATACCTTTAACCCCAAAATTTGGGAGGCTGATATTTGTGAGTTTGAAACAAGCATGGTCTAGAGACCCTGTCACAAAAACCAAAGTTAAACAACCACACCCAAAGACTTGTAGTTTCATAAAATATTACAGATGCAATATAAAAATTTATGCTGGACATGTGCATGTATTGAATCCCAGCACTAGTACTGGCAGGCACTAGTATTAGTGCAGGCAGAGGTAGGCATATCAGACTGCTATCCATAGTGAGTTTTAAAAAAAAAGATTTGTTTAATATAAATACCATAAAAGCAGAAGTTTCCATTTTATGGAATGCCAATGACATGCTAGACATAGGGATAAGAGTAGGTAGCAGCTGAACTGCTCTAAATGGCAGAACAGTGAAATGAGCTAGCTCTTCCGGCCTATGTTATTAACTCCTGATCAAGAAAAGCTGCAAGTGCAAAGAGAATATGAATACACATTACAGAATGACTGATCATTAAAACAGGCAATTTTTCACAGTCTACGTGCTCCCAAGTCCTTCACAAAAGAAGTCAAGAAAACATTTACCTTATCTGAACCCCTGAATACATATGATTATAGATGTCGTTATCTTCTAGCACACCATGTCCATTGTCATAAAAATAAACACCAACCTAAATTTGAAGGGAAAGAAAAGAACAACTTTTTCAGATGATACCTTTTTAAAAAACAACAGTAGTGGCCCAAAGAAGACCAAGTAAGTGATCTTGCCTGCTTTCCACTGTGTATCCGATTTCTTCTCAGTACTGGTGTGCTGCCAGTTGTCACCCAGACTCCAGCAAGAGTATTGCTGTAAACTTCATTCTCTTCTATTACACCTTGTCCCTTTTCATGCTGAACAGAAGATAAACTGGTTACAGTATATGCTGTCTATAATAGAATCTTAAGTGTGATCCTCCCTGAAACAGTTCTGCCAACAGCAGGTAGGTAAGGAAATGATGACAACTTTTCTAGCACTGGTAACAACCTAGGACTCATGAACGCTAGGAATATGCTTGACTACTAAGCAGTACCTTCCAACATTCTTTTCTCCTCTGGTCTTTAAAAATCTTTGTTATTTATTGTGTGTGTGCATGTGTGAGGGTGTGCACATGCCATGGCACAGCGAGGTGGTCAGAGAAGAGCTGTGTGGAGTTAGTTCTCTCCTACCTTTACATGGGTTCCAAGGAGCTCAGTTATCCCACAGGCCTTGCCCTGGACTTTTCTAACAGGCTTGTACAAGTGCTTTTACCAGCTGCAATGTCCATCTCACTGGGCCCCAAACTGCCCTTCCAGCTTGAGACGTGGGCTGGAACTCCTTAAGTAGACTAGTCTGAACTCAGCCACCTGCCTCTGCCTCTGCTACTGTGATTAAAGGTGTGAATGGCCATTTTTCTTTAAAACAGACTTTTAGCTCCTTTTAATTATTTTTTTAAAATAATTTTATTTTATATGCATTGGTGTTTTGTATGTATATCTGTGTAAGGATGTCAGATCCTGTAGTTACAGACGTTAGCTCTCATGTGGGTGGTGGGAATTGAACCTAGGTCCTCTGGAAGAGCAGCCAGTGCTCTTAACTGCTAAACCATCTCTCTGGTGGCCTCCAACTTTCATTCTTCCTACCTTACTCTTTCTAAGTCGGGTTCACACACCACCATAACTTTTTTTTTTTAAATGTAGCTTCTACTTGAGTTTACTTTTCCAAAATATTTGTAACTTTTTTTGTAATAGTTTGGATTTTAAATCTATCACAGTAAGAGAAGCATCACTTTTTTTTTAAAGAAAGGAACATTTCTAAGATATGTAACATACTAAAAATGTCTCATTTAGCAAAGTTATTACAAACTTCTCCAAAATGATAAGGTCTCAGCGCAGAATTTTTACTACCAATAGAAAAAAAAATAGGATCCAGCTGGCTATTTCATTTTAAGGCTTTCTTTTTTTGGTGGTGGCAGTGATGGTTGTAGTTTAATTACTGCTTTTATAGAATTTCATATTCACGAAGTTGGCACACTAACAAAATTCCAGTTAATCAGTTGCTATATTTGGAACATACTACTTACTCCCAGTAATTCGGCAGGTGAAATGGTTAAGCTGCCATAGGCACTTCTTAAGCTTGCTTTGAATGGGGTGCCTGAGGCCCACATGGTAGAAGGAAAGAACCGACTTCCTTAAGTTGAGGAATGAATGGTATGCATTCCCTTCCCCCAAATAAATAATTAAAGAAGGTTCTATCTCCTATGCTACTTATACACATATCTAGAAGTTATTTATATATCCAAAGGAAGAACAAGACTAGTATTTATTGTCTACAAAGGTCAAACGTAAGTTTCTCAACCCTGCTTGAACCCCTCACAGATATTTCAGTCAGTTTTATTATGTAGCCTCAAGTTTATTTTCTTCACTTCAGTTAGTTATACCTCTACTCACCCCAGGGATTCTTCCTTTCTGACTCCCCAGTAGCCATCACACCTTTCCGTTTTTTAAAGTGGGTTCAGGAGATCAAACTCAAGTTATTATGCTGCCACCGTACAGCCCCTGCCCTGAGCCTGTGATTCTCCTGTCCTAGCTCTGTGTTGGAATTACAGGCCAACATACCCAGCTGCCACCAGTTCTCCCTCCCTTTCCCCCTCCCCCAAAATGAAAGGGTTGGTAATTTAATAGTATTTAACATAAGGCTTGAACATGAGAGTTAAGACAAACAGGTGCTTAGAAGATGTACCCAAGAGCATATGTGTAGGCGTCAATGAGTCACTTTTTGTAGTTTTCTCCTTTCCTATTTTTTGAGTTGGGGTCTCATGCTGTCCTTGATTTTGCTTATATAGCTGACAATTACACTTGAACTTCTGATCCTCCTACCTCTTCCAAATTCTGGGATTATATAGGCTTGGATTACTAGGCTTGGTTTAAGTGGTGATGGAAACAAAACCTACTCTATCTAGCTAAGCACTAGAAGCAGATCCCTAGCCATGGGCTTTGACTTCTTGCAAGGGTTTACATAAGTATATACATTAACTTACCACATAAATCCCACCATGTTGCCCATCATGAATTTTGTTATGTCGAACAATAGGACAGCTGTTTGTCCTAATCTGAATTCCTGCTAATGCATTGCCTATTTGAAAATAAAATTTACAATGTCAATGTTTAGAGTCTAGTAGTAGTATACAGTAAAAATTTTACATTAAGCAACAGTAACAATTCATGTACTAGATTTTTAGTGAGCATTAAAAGATAACACCAAGAGGACTAGAGTACAGTAGATGTAGAACTGCTGCAGTTAGATTTAGAGATCAAGCCAGGTCACCAAGGATTCATTTCCAATGTGACTTTGAGTCAGTATTTTAAATTCTTCATGCCTGTTTTCTGATTAGCAACTAGAGGTATTTAATATTATGTATCTTGTAGAACTGATGTGAATACCACGTGTCTGGCACACAGGTATTTAATCAGTTGCTAAATAAAAGCTTTAGTGAGGAGTACTTCCCTTCTCTATTGAGCTCAAAGTAGACTAAACTTCAAACAAAACTTTTTTATTAGATATTTAGTGATTTAGTGAATGTAAAAAAAAATCATACATATTCCTTAAGACTAGGGTCTTATTTCTATTTTCCTGTGGTATTTGGCTTAGTGCTTTGCATATACAACATTGAATGTTTAAATACTAGAGAATAATCTTTGACAATTTATTCTTTTTAAAAAGATTTATTATTGTTTTGTATGTGTGTGTGTGTTAGTGAGTGTGAGTATTTTGTTCTCCTGAATGTTTGTGTATCATATACACCCTAGATATGGAGTTAGAGATAGTCGTGGGTGCTGGAACTTGAACCTGGGCCTTCAAGAACAATCACTGAGCCATCACTCTAGCTTCTTCATTTAGACTTTAAAGGAACTAGATCATTTCTCTCCCTTAGATAATTTCAGAACAGTCTACTGCTGACATGAAGAAGTTAGGCTAGTTTTACCCTCCTAGTCCCTGCAAAGTGCAAGAGCCAGAGCTCTGCACTACAGCATGGCTGTGGGCTTCTACAAGGCCACAAAATAATAAAGTGTACGGCAAGTCGAGGCACAGCTGGCTCCACGGCATCTCACCAAACATACCAAGTTTATATAGGACATGATCTGGCAGGATGTGACTTCATACTCTAGTGCACAATGGAACTGCTCAAGATCTCCAAGGACAAGCAGGTACTGAAGTTTATCAAGAAGGTGGCACACACATTAAGAGGAAACAAGGAGTTGAGCAATGTACAGGTAGCCATGAGGAAAGTAGAGGCCAAGAACTGAGCCTGCCTCACCTGTACTCTCCTTCATTCAACAAATCTATATGTATCCGGTGCACACACATGAGAAAAAAGCTAATGTCTAAGTTTTAGAGAACAAAATCATATGCTTACCATAAATGTCATTTCCTTCAATAAGTCCTCGTCCATCACCAAAGATGTAAACTCCTCCTTGATTTCCATTAAATATAGAATTCCCCCTATAATGTAAATAAATTTGTAAAAAGTCATATACTTAAAATTTGTTTTAGACAATTATGCCATAAGATCATCCATGGTAACATGAAAAATCATTTAGCTTCTATATTCAGAAACTTAGTTTGTGAATTTATAAAACAAACAAACAAAAGCCAAAAAAAGCTATCTGATGATATTTCAAAATTCTCTTATTATTTAAGATGAAAAAGCATGTATGTATGTTTAGTCTGCAGTGCTGAACTAATCTAGGGCCGTCTATATTGCTGGGTAAGTTCTGAGCTATATCCGAAGATCTCAAATAATATTTTTTGCTGTTTTGATTTCGTTTTAACCTTTTCAGACAGTCTCATTATGCAGACAGGTTGGCCCCAAACTTGTGGGGCTCTTCTACCCTCTGAATCCCAAGCGATGGGAATACAGGTGTTTGCTACCATACCCAACTCCAAAATAGTATTGTTAAACATTCCCTTGAAACCTTCAAACAATTTCTTTTAGCTGCCTTAGAAACATGTGGTGAATATTAGCAATATATTTTTATAGGCAGGGCAACCAGCCTAGGGAAGGCAGAGAGTCAGTCACTACCCAGACACAGAGGAAGCAAGATGAGAATGTCTTGCTGAAAAAGGTACCAAGCCACATGGCTACACACAGATAAGAATTATGGGTTAATTTAAGTTGTGAGAGCTAGTTAATAATAAGTCTGAGCAACAGGCCATACAGTTTATAATTAATAAGCCTCTGTATGTTTTTTTGGGACTTAATGGCTATGGGATCAGGCAGAAAAGAAACTTCTGTCTATACATTTTCATAAAATCAACAACTTGATAATTAAAAATAAATCAGCTGGGCATAGTAGTACACACCTTTAATCCCAGCACTCAGGAGGCAAAGGCAGGTGGACCTCTGTGAGTTCAAGGGTAGCCTGGTCTACATAAAATTTGAGGCCAGCCAAATATGCAAGGAGACCAGAGACCCCATTTAATAAACAAAAACGAAACAAAACAAAACAAAACAAAAAAACCCTATGCTCCAATTAAATTAAAATAGCTTTGTACTACAGGACTGACCAATGATGCTTTTAAGTTTGTTTGCTTTCTTACTGTGACCAGAGTGGGCCAAAGACTTTTAGATACTCTTAGTCTCTTTGTCCTAGGATCTTTGAGATAATTAGGGTCCTAAAGCACACTATTTGCTGTCTTTCATTTAAAAAAAAAAAAGACAAAGGCATTTATGTTCTAAGACAGTTATAGACCTATTTAATGACCTATAACATGGGCAGTTAATAACCTGTGCTAACACCTATAAACATATGTATGTTTTCCTACATGCATGCCTGTGTGTGGGTGTCAAATGCACTGGAACTAGAGTTACAGGCAATTGTGACCTGCCATGTGGGTGCTGGGACATGAACCCGGATCTTCTGGAAGAGGAGCCAGTGCTCTTAACCAGTGAGTCATCTCTTCAGCCCCACACAAAGAAGTATTTTAAACGGGGTGGTAGCAGTGCACACCTTTAATCCCAGTACTCAGGAGGCCAAGGCAAGAGGATCTCTGTGAGTTCGAGGCCAGCCTGGTCTACAGAGCGAGTTCCAGAACAGTCAGGACACAGAGAAATACTGCCTCGAAAGTCTCCTCCCCCCACCAAACTATCTGTATCTAAATCTCTCTCTCTCTCTCTATATATATATTTTTGGTTTTGCACTGAACCTTGAATCCAGGGCCTCATGTCTTCTAGACAAGCACTCTACCACTGAGCTACACCCTAGCCATAAAAAAAAATATTTTTTTAAAAGATTTATTTTTTTAGTATGTATACATTGTTCTGCCTGCATGTACACCTGCAGGCCAGAAGAGGGCACCAGATCTTGTTACAGAGCTGCCATGTGGTTGCTGGGAACTGAACTCAGGACCTCTGGCAGCCAGTGCTCTTAACCACTAAGCTATCTCTCCAGCTCCCTCCCCATATATATGTGTGTGTGTGTGTGTATACATATATATATATATATGTATATATATATAAAATAACATATATTTTTATTTAATTTTTTTATGTGTATTTGGTATGAAGGTGTTAGATTCCCTAGAACTGGATTACAGACAGTTGCGAACAGCCATGTGGGTGCTGGGAATTGAATGTGGGTCTTTTGGGAGAGCAGCCAGAGCTCCCCCAAAATATATTTTTTAAGAGTTAAGTTCGGCATCTTTTCTCAGATGTAAAAACAACAAACAAAAACCCCCAAAGCAAAATAAACTCAACCTGTATCTGTAATGATGCAAATACCTTATTGTTGGGTCACTATTTGAGGTAATCCATACGCCTGCGAAGTTGTTTGCATAGATTTTGTTCTCTATAAACTGTCCTCTTCCTTTCTCATGGACATATATTCCTCCAGTTTGCCCATGGTGAATTTCACAGCGAACCACTGTGGGATTAGCATAGGCTTTCACTTCAAAGCCTGCTATCCTGTTTCTGTGTATGTTGCAACTTTCAAAGTAACCCTGAAAAACATGAGTTAAAGTCTTTATGTAAAGGTTACTTTCTGAATAGAAATGAAAAAAAGAAAAAGAAAAATATACATTAACATTCAAATGACAATAAAGAAACAATACAAATTGTCTAAATATTGTAAATGCATTCAATGGTAGGAAATAAAAACAGATAAAGAACTATTCAATAAATGTAATTACTTACTTAATATGTATTATCCTTGTAACAAAAGGCTGCCGTCATTAAAGAAAATACATGTTGATCGTCTTAAAAATATCAACAATTTGACGCTGGAGAGATGGCACAATGGTTAGGAGCACCTGCTGTTTCTGCAGAGAACCCGTGCTGAGTTCCCAGCACTTACGTGGTGATTCACAACCATGTACTTAACTCAAGTTCCAGGAGATCCAAAAATGTGTCTGGCCTCCATGGGCACCAGGCATGCATCTGGTGCATATACACACGCAGAGACAAAACACTTGCACATATCAGTTAAAATTTAACAACTGGCTTGAGGGTGGGGAAAATAAAATGCCTATTATGCTTGATCCCCAGAGCATAAGAAGAGAAAAAGAAATCAGCTTCATAAATCACTTTCTAAAAGATGACTTACAATTAGGCACAAGGGCTCAACCTTCTAAAAGACCCACAGTTAGGCGCAATGGGTTCAGCATCCAATCTTGGCTACTCTGGAGGCTGATGCAAGAGGATTACATAATCTGATTCCAGCAGTTTCTGCTAACCTGCATCAGAGAGGCCTAGTCTCAAAACCAGTATTAGTAAACAAAACACTGACCTAAAACAACTGTTAAATATCGTGGCCTGTGACCCTAGGCAGGAGGACGCAGAGTTCAAAGTCAGCGTTGGCTACATAAGATGTTTGAGATCAGCCTGGGGTACATATGAGACCCTGTCTCAAAAAGCATTAGAAAAAACAAAAAATTCATTCATCCTAACCAATGGAATGAGCCATATTTTGCTTTAAAACAGTATAAAGAAATGCATCTATTTTGTTAAGCTACAACTCCAGTATAAACAGAAAATGGTTCAGTAAAGCCAAACTGTAAAATGAATTTGAACAGAGCACTGCTTTGTAACATAAAACCACAAAAGCGCTAGTTGTAATTTTTGGTGTAAAACCATCTTTATTATCACAAAGAAAGATGTGCAAGAGAATCATGAGAAACCTTTCCAAATTAAAAAAAGAGCCAAAGTATAGTGGTACATGCTTTTAGTTCCAGACCTCAGGAGAAAAAGGCAAGGGGATCTTGAGTTCAAGGCCAGCCTATGCTACACAGCTGAACACTGCCTTTAAGTAAATTGATAAGATTGGAGAAGAAAAAACAACAACAAAAAAGACCTACCATTCATTGAAATCAACACCTATAACCCAAATTATAATTTATAAGACATATGCAAAATGTTGCATCCTCTGGAAAAAAAAAGACTCTAACAACCTATTTAAAGTGATAAGAAGTGAAAGGATGAGAGTCAGATTTAAACACAAGAAATGCAGACTCAATCTGTCAAAGTTTAAGTTCAGAAATTTGGAATTAGTGTTTCCAAAATTCTATTACAATTTGGCAGCTATCCTTTAATCATTATCGTACAAAGATTAAGTCTTCAAACTGGGCATGGTGATGTACACTTTCAGTTCTAATTCCAAATAAATTAATATTTCTCAGTGCACTAAATAAAAACAAGGCGGTGGGGGGGGGATGGGGAGATGGCTCAGAGGTTAAGAGCACTATCTGCTGCTCTTCCAGAGGACCCGGGTTCTGTTCCCAGCACCCATATGGTAGCTAACAGCTGTCTCTGACTCCACACACAAACAGACATGCAGGGAAAATACCAATGCAAATAAGATAAATTACTTAAAAAAAAATAAAAACAAAGGGGAAAACACCCTCAAACTGTAAACACCGACAATAGATTTGAAGAAGGAAATATTGTTATTTATTCTTTCTAAAAAAAAAATCTGTGTGTGCTACTCCCTCCCACCCCCTGCATGTATGCACAAACACAGAACTCTTAAGAAACTTATCTCCTTTTTTTTGAGGCAGGGTCTGTCACTGGGACCTGTGTGTTGTCTGGCTGGTCAGAGCCTGTAGGGTCCTCCTGTCTCTTCTTCCTCAGGATTGCCTACCATGGGTCACCAGGTCACCACTACAACTGTTTTGTTGAACAAAAAAAGCACTGGGGATTGTTCTCAAGTCCTCACGCCTGGCCTGCACAGCAAGCCCTCATTCATCAACTGAGCCATCTCACTTCTTAAGAGTCTCGCCGACATTGGGGTTTGTAGAGGAAAAAACTCTGATGCTGGTGAAAAACCCAGGGCTTCATATGTTCCTACCACTAAGCTATAATCTTGGCCCCAGAATACTAGCTTTTCAAAGATAAATGCTAAAATATTTAAATAATATTAAAATAATGCTATCTGGATTTTACCAATCCTGGTAATGTTCAATTCTGTTTCAAAATAATCCAGAGTATAAGGAAAGGAACATGTAAACAACGAAGCAGCGTGAACTAAAAGTTATTTGTGGGCACATCAGGATTCGGGACATTATTTTCTCTACTTCTGTGTCTATTAGAATTGTTTCATTTAAAAAAAATGTTAAAAAATGAAAACTACAAAATAAAGTAAGAGAATCATATCATATCAAATCAAATAGCGGGAATGAAGGGACTGCAGACTTCAGAAAGCCACAGAGCACTTAAAGGAAAGGAACAGAGTAATATCAATAGTAGAAAGAGGCAAGTTTCTAAAGAAAACTAAGGTTTTAAAAAAACTGGAAAACAGCAATAAAAACAACATATGAATATAGATAAAAGCAAACCAGGGCAAGAAAGTAAAGAAAGCAAAAGTTTTCAATCACACTGATGCTAAAAAGAAAGATGGCACCACATTAGAGAAAGATGACCCAACTGCAGACTTCACTGAGTTCAAAGGTAACAACCAACAGACATTTTCAAGGGGCAGAAATTTAAGCTCCAAACCCTTAAGTTCTTCTAAGAATGAAGGGGGGAAAAGGCTAGCAGAAAAAACCCAGACTCATATCAAGAATAAATGAACCAGAATGTAAAATTCAGGAATGGAGAGTCAAGGGGCATGGGAAGAATGATAAACAAATATAAAGTAAATACAAATCAGCAGCTGTAAGAACAAGATGTTTTCAACAGTTACAAAACAATGTATAGGGTTGGAGAGACAGCTTATCCATTAAGAGCACTGGTTGTTCTTACAGAGGACAATGGTTCAATTCCCAGCACACAGTTACTGTCTGTAACTCTAATTCTAGATGATGGCATCCTTTTCTGGCCTATGTGAGCACTGCACACATGTGATAAACAGACACACAAAGACAAAATACCTATATACATTAAAAAAACAAAAGGGTGCTCGGGAGGCAGAAGCAGGTGGATCTCTCTGAGTTCAAGGGCCAGTCTGGTATACAGAGTGAGTTTTAAGTCAGCCAAGGCTAAATAAGTGAGATACTATCTCAAAAAAACCAAACCAAATCCCCAAAAGATTTATGAGTGATGGAATGAAGCTAGTTGAAAAGTATATTTTTTCTCATTCTTTTTTTAAATAGGAGAGCTCAAACACACAATGACCAACTCTAAAGTTGTAGCAAAGCTTTTCATTTATTTATTTTTCTATGTTCTTTTAAACCAAAGTTTAAAGAAACAACATTTTTAAGGTAAAAAATAGAAAATCTTTAGGGTGTTTGTGTAGCACACATATCCATGGTCAGTAAGTACATGTCTGTGTATAAATGTGTAGGGTAGGGTCACTATAGGTGTTTTACTCAACTTATGTCACCATTTTTATTAAAACAAGTATTTTTAGTTATGTGTTTCAGTGTAGGGTATGTACACCTGAGTGCAGGTGCTCTTGGAAGCCAGAGGCATTGGATCTCTCTTGAACTGGAGTTACAGGTTATGAGCTGTAGACAGGTACTGGGAACCCAGCTATGAGGGCAGTATATACTAATAATCTCAGAGTCTTCTCTCCAGTTCTCTCACTGAACTCAGAGCTCAAGGATTTGGCTATATTAGTTACCCAGTGAGCCTCTGTTATCACTCTGTCTCTGCCTTCCTAGGGCTGGGATTAAAGGCAAGTGATGTAGTACCCAGTTTTAGATGGGTTTGGGGATCCAAACTTGGGCTCTCAAGTTTGAGCAGCATGCATTTTACATACTGAACCATCTCCGAAGCCCTTAACATCTCTTGTGATTTATTTTAGGAATACAGGAATTCAAATTCTAGGAATGCAATATATACAGAAACGGATAACTTCAAAAATTAATAATAAATATGAATGTATTCAAAGATAAGTGATAGACCAGTAGGTGGTTTTAATGTTTATTTTCATATTCTTCGAAGCTCCACAGAAAACAAAGGCCAATCTTAGAAAGGTTACATGGGATGCGAGATGTGACTACCAATTATGAGCTGCCAACAAAACAACAGGCCAAACAGGACTGGAATGGAAGCACAGCTCTAAAAGGTTTTCAGATTGTGCACAGTACTCAAAGAAATCCAAAGATACAACAGGCAAAGATACACTTCTTTTCCCTCATAAATTTGTGATTATTTAGAAAAGCTCTCACTAACCCTTAATGGAACTATCAATCCAAAACACTATGTAGAGTTGTTTTCAAAATGCTGTTATAATACTTGTAAACACAAACTACAAAAACCTACCTAAGGGGTATAAGATAAGGAGTAAATTACTAAAGTGAGCTTTAGTAACTAACCATAGATACTTCATAAATGAGGAGCTTGTACTCAAGCTAAATTACCTTTGTACCGCTAATCATTTGTGAATGAGACAAAAGTATTCATAAATATGATACTTGAATTGAATGTAACTTCTGGACACAGCCTAAAGAAAACACAGGCATACTATAACATACAGTTCCATCACAAGATGAAGAATTCTATTTAGGACTTATTACCAGTAGGTGTTTCCAAGGGAGTGTAATTTTGTAACAGTCTTGTTTAGGTGCCCTTGGTATAATTATCCAAACCCCTTCTCCCAACTGCCAGTAAAAGAGCTACATCATTCAGTATTACTGACACACACAAACACACACACACACACACACACACACACACACACACACACACACACACCCTGCATGTTAGGGAGCTGCTATGAAGTTCAGGCTGGCCTTAAATCTGTCATCTTCCTGAGTGCTAACATTACAAGTGTGCACCACTACACCTTCACTCTACCACCCCTTCTACCTCTCCCCACTTCTTAAGACAGGGTCTCTCTGTGTCACTTTGGAGCCTGTCCTGGAACTAGCTTTGTAGACCAGGCTGGTCTAGAACTCACAGAGATCCTCCTGCCTCTGCTTCCCGAGTGCTGGGATTAAAGGCGTGTGCCACCACCACCCGGCTTTATCTTCTCTTTCTTTTCATCTGTATCTGTCCTTGCCATGGACAATATGCATATACGAACCCAATATTCTCAGGTAGTTTAATTAATACATTACAATCAAATCTCAACATAATCCTATTTGTCACCACTTTTCTCCCATTTCTCTGATGCCTACAATACAAAAAATGTTGGCAATGTGGTATGAGAAGCTGAAAATTAACTCAAGAAAAACCAGACACTAACCCAAAAGAACATCTAAATGAGTATCTATGAATACTACTTTTGTTTTTCCGAGACAGGATTTCTCTAGTTCTAGTTGTCCCGGAACTCACTTTGTAGACCAGGCTGCCCTCAAACTCACAGAGGTCTGTCTGCTTTTGTCTTCTGAATACTACTTTTGCTGCTGTTGTTGTTGTTGTCTATTGAAAGAGTCTTACTCTGTAGCCTTGTTTTAAACTTGTGATGACCTTCCTGCCTACAGTTTTCAGACTACAGAAATGAGCCCCTACACCAGTATGCTACTAACACTATTTTGGAATACTGACCTTAGAGAACTTAAAAGTCAAGCCTAGAAAATTGTGTAAAATAAAGAGCCAAATTTAGGTGCTCAATAATTTCTGCCTGTTTTTGAATTAGTATCTTATTATTTATATTGGCTTTGAATTTATGAAAGTTAAAAATTAACAATGGGAGGCTGGGTAGAAACATTTGCCTACTATTCCCTTGTCCCAGGTTTGACCCCTCAACACTGTTCCCTACCAAACAAACAAATAAATAAAAAAAACCCTAAACAATTGAGACTATTGTTTCCAAAGCAAACACATTACAGATAAGCTGTCTTAGACTCATTATGGTACTGGATAAAAACGCTTTCCTTTGGTCTCATTTTTGGAAATCCTTACCGTACATGATGTGGGCATAGAAATTCACACACACTCCCTTCAACAACAACCAAAAAACCCCATAGGTTTCCACGTGATTTTATACATATTCAGACTTGAGAACTAACTGCTGGATTAAACTTCAAAGATCACATCAACTCTTGATTAATTCTACCATAAACGTATTTTTCTGGGCATGATGATTTCGGCACATGAATTTATAGAATGAATATTGTATGACTTTAAAAATGCAATGGTATTCTTCAACTCAGATAATGATAAAAAATAATGCTGAAGTATGAAGTATTAATTGGCAGCCAGCTTTTATCTTAATAAAAAAAAAATCTTACCATGCCATGATCAAATGTGAACACACCAACATCACGTCCGTGATGAATGTGATTCCGTCTAATAATTGGATTTCCATGATTTTTAACCCATATCCCAGCTAATGCATTATTAGAAATTTCATTATCTTCATATATTCCCTACAACAATGAGAAACAAACATTAGTGCAATTTCAAAAAAATTAATTAAAAAAAAAAAGCTCAAACTACAGAAATACCTGTGCATGATCTGTTATATAAAGCCCGACATTTTCACAGTCACTGATGTTACAATGTTTGATGGTGGGACATGCTCCTTGACCACTAACACACACTGCAGAACCAACTATAAAAAAAAAATGATTTATTCATTAAAAAAACCCATTGAGGAACAACATACTGGCTCTATTTTATAGAAAACTTAAAGGAAATACGAACCTGTACATGTACTTCGGATGATACAGTGATCAATAATAGGGCTACAGTTCACTGTAATTTCTAAGCAGTGGTGGGCATTATGATGCTGAGCAGATTTGTCATCAGGGTTGAACTGAAAAGTAGAAAGTGTATTTAAAATAACAGCCATCGCATTACCTAATTCAAAAAATATTTCGAAATGAAAAATTTCTTACTCGTATGGTCATATAGCCAACATAAGCATCTTCAGAACCTTCCATAAAAACAAAAGTTGAATCTCTAGTGTTTTCAATGATAACTTTGTCTGCCACTTTCCCAGGTGCTGTAGGGAAAACATTTGAAGCATTGGCTTTATTCTATTTGTATCTGTACAGAGACCACCCTCCTCCCCCAAGGGCAGGACTGACTCAGGATAGCCTGGGGACAAGCCTACATCACCATAGAGGGAGTGTAAAAAACGCTAGTTAGTATTGGACTGGAGAAATAGCTCAGTGGTTAAGAGTACTTCCTGCTCTTCTAGAGGACCTAAGTTCAATTCCCAGCTCCCACACCAGGTGGCTCACGACTGCCTGTGTCTCCAGCTCCAGGGATCTGGCCCTCTCTTCTGGATTCCATACACACATGCCCATACTCAAACACACACATATGAATACATAGATTAAAAAGAGATCAATATTAAGCAGCAGGACTAATATTGATCTTTTAGTTAACTATGCTTCATTAGTATTTATGACAAATGATCATATCTATTGGAGATATTGTTTGATCAACCCTACACCCAAACTCACATATAGTAATACTTCTAGTAAAATTCAACTATAAACCGGGCAGTGGTAGCTCACGCCTTTTAATCCCAACACTAAGGGGGGCAGAGGCATCTCTGAGTTCAACGCCAACCTGGTCTACAAGAGCTAGTTCCAGGATAGGCTCCAAAGCTACAGAGAAACCCTGTCTCAAAAATCCAAAAACAAACAAGCAAACAAAACAAACAAAAAACAACCAAACAAACAAAAACAAAAACTATAAAAATATAAATATCAAATGCAGCAAATATTAAGAAATAACCAGTCACCAGCAACAGCAGCCCAGGGAGAGAAAAGATTTCTTTATTTCAATTAATTTTCAGTGGGAACCTCAATTGTTAAAGATACAAGTTTCTCTCTTTTTTTGGTAGTGGTGTTGTTAGGACTTGAACAGGTCCTCACACATGCTAGACAAACATTAAACTCTCAATCCCCCTCCCCCCTTTATGGTAGGGATAGGGAGGGAAGCAGAGAAGCAGTAAATGCAAATTTCATTAGTAATGGTACTAGCTACTTTAAAGAGGTGTTAGCAGCTGTATTCTCAAAAAAGAAATTCAAAGATGGAGTCAAATCTTGAAATAACTCATTATTATTTTACTAATTTTACTATTACATTTAGTGTTAGAAACTTGACTAGTGCAACAAGCATTTACAAGCTATAATTTGTTTCTTTAAAAACACAGCAGTAGGGGCTAGAGATAGAGGCTCAGAGGTTAAAAGCCCTTGCAGAGGACTTGGGTCCAGGTCCCAGCACCCATGTGAAGAAGGCTCAGAACCATTTCTAACTCTAGCTCCAGAGGATCTGATGGCCTCTTCTGACCTCTGCAGGCACCAAGCATGCACGTGGTGCACATATATACATACATACAAGAACACACAAAATAAAGCATATCTAAAAAGACAAAATGGCACAGCAATAAAAACATAAGCATTAGCATTAGGGAGGTGGCTCAGTGGTAGACACTTGTAGAGTGAGTTTGAGCCCCAGCAGCAAAGAAACAAAACAAAACAAAACAAACCAGCATGCTTGTTTTCAAAGGGAAAAATCACATGACCATGTTTTCTCTTTCAATGAGTAACTGAGGGCAACTGCACGAGTGACATCAAAACACACAAACATCTGTGACTCTAACCTTTCCTGCTTTCGTTTCCCTCATATATAAAGGATTAAAGGATCTCCACTGCTGGGCTTTCCTACCACTAAGGTATTAACAAAGTTCAACTGGATTTTAAGTCACTAACACTAAAAAAAGCACCAATATGTAAAATAAATAATATTACAAAATGCTAAAATTCTAAAAAATAATGAGTTTCAAAATACCTGCACCAATCATAGTGATTGGAGATTCAATATAAATCCATTCATCAGTATATATCCCAGAATGAACAAAGATAAGCCCATCAAAATGTGCTTCCTGTACTCCACCAAGGGCATCTTCAATAGTATCATAATACTAGAAAAAAAATAAAAGTATCAGTACAGTACAGTTACTATCGTTCAGAATAGAAAGTTATTATGTAAAGTCATAAAAATACAAATGAGACAGGACTAGGCATGTTCACAGTAGTATAGAACATATGTCATATGATAATGGAAAGAGAGACAAGGGGGAGGTCAACAGAAATACATTCTATTTGAAAATGCTGTAACAAAATCCCATATGCCAATTAAAAAATAAAAACAAACATACCAACATATTTTCTCTTCCTTTGTATCTTGCAGGGTTACTATAGAAATGCTCAGCAAATCCCGGCTTTACATGTGCACCTTTATACTAAGATGTCAAAAACAAGACAAACATTGTCTACTATCATAGAAACATAGTGTTTTAAGTTAATGCACCAGTGTAATGTTTATTAAATATGAAACATTTCTCAACTATCTCAACTAATTTTTAATCATACAGTACAATGAAGAATCTATTTACTACTATCTAGTAAGATAGGCAGACTTTCAATTTCACCACTACTATTACTTTGGGCTAGATAGTTCTTTGAGATGGAAGCTGTCCTATGAAGCAGAGGCTACTCAGTAAAATCTGTGGCCTCTACCAAACTTGATACTAAAGATAAATGTCCTCTTCTGCTTTGACAAACAAAGTGTCTCAAGATCACCAAATGTTCCCTAACATTTGAGAAATCAATCATGCCTAGCTGAGAATCACTAAAAATGGACTACAAGAAAATTAAAATATGAAGGATGTGGTGTATGCCTTTAATCCATATCACAGGTGGAGGTAGAGACAGGTGAATCTTTGAGAGTTCTAGGCCAGCCAGAACTACACAGTGAGACCTCAATTAAACTACACAGTGAGACCTCAATTAAAAAACAAAAAAAGTAAGACATATGTAAAATTTTAAAACGACTAAAACCTGCTAATCTATGTACAAATGGAAACAGATCCATTGGAATCATAACCATCCATGCTACTGATAGTTCCTGTTATTTACGTTTTCTTCCTTCAAGCAGTCTTACTATCAGACAGAGGCTGGCCTTCAACTTAGGATCTTCCTGTCTTAGCATCTGAGCACTGGGATTACAATCTATTCTTGGATACATTTATGTATTTAATTAAAAGCTTTAAATTATGTATAGTTGTGTGTGGGTATGTGTGAGTGCAATTGGCCAAGTAGTCCAGAAAAGGGCATTGGATCAGCTGGAGCTGGAGTTACAAGGAGCTATGAGTTGCCTATGTGGGTGCTGGGATCCAAACTCAGGTCCTTTAGAAGAGTAATGCATGCTCTAACCCCTGAGCCATCTCTCTAGCTCCAGATCTATTTATTTATTTTTATAAAGAAATGTATTTACAGATACATAATATAAATCTGTATTTTCTGTATATCATACCAACTGCTGAAAACTCTCTTTCCATGGATTTGGATGTTCATATTCTTCTGGATTAATCTGATAGAATTTACCAGGTTCAGGATGCATCATAGGGCGAGTATATTCAAATACTTCCATATATAATCGTTTCCTGAAGGAAAAAAAGGAATTAAAGATTTCCTTATAAAATACTCTAGATTAATAAAATATTTAACATGTTACCTGAATGACCAGAATTTAAGTAAGGACAGATAAATATCAAAATACAGAAATTAATTAACTGATTAGTTCCTGAGATGGTAGGTGGTGCAAGGCCTCTGTGCTGTCCAGGTTGGCTTCAAACTGCTGGGCTCAAGAGAGCCGCCTGCCTTACCCTTCTGAGTAGCAGGGACCACAGACATGTACCACTGTGTAAACAAAATACCTTCTTTTTTCTGTAGACCAGGTTGGCCTCAAACTAACAAGCTACCTGCCTCTGTCTCCCAAGTGCTGAGATTTAAGGCATGTGCTACTACACCTGACAAAATGTATTTTAAAAAATTATTAATTTTCAAAAGCTGGCAGTGGTGGCACACACCTTTAATCCCAGCACTAAGGCGGCAGACGCAGGTGGATCTCTGAGAGTCTGAGGCCAGCCTGGTCTATAGAGCTAGTTCCAGGACAGCCATGGCTACACAGAGAAACCCTGTCTCAAAACACCAAAAAGTTCCTGCATACGCACTCTCTCCTTCTCTTACTCCATAAAACACAAGCATAAAAGACTAAACACAAGCTTCAATGCATTTGATATATTTTCCTTCCAGTCTTTTTTAATCTACAGAGCATTCATTTACTTTGATTAAACAAAATATCTTTTTAAAATGTTTTATAAATTTTATTTATCTCTGTGTGGGTTGGAGGGAATATGTACATGTCATGTAAATACAAGTGAAGGTCAGAGCCAACTTTGGGAGTCAGTTCCCTTCAAACACCATGTGGATTCCAGAGATCAAATGCAGGCTGTGAGGCTTGGTGGTGGTGTCTTTTCACTTCTGAGTCGTCTCAACAGTTCAGGGTAGCCATCCTTACTCTGCTCCATTCACCTTTTGTTTCATGTTCTTTCTTTCTTTCCTTCCTTCCCTCCCTCTCTTTTGGACACAGTCTCATGTAACCTCAAATTTCCTATGTAGCTGGGGAACTGAGTTTCTTGCCTCTATCACCCAAGTGCGAAGATTATAGGGGTGTACCACACCTGGCTCAAAAACCAACTGTTTTTAAAGTAAAAGTCACTGTTAGCTGATTCATCTCAATCTAAGTGACATTATACAGTCCACTCATTTCTTTCTTTTTGTAAGAGAGGTGTTCGTGTGACTTCCTTGCATGAGTTCTGTATGGCACTGTATGTGGTACTGGGAAGCCAACCAGGCCCTCTGAGAGGACAGTGAGCAGTTGTAGTGCCAGTCCTCACCTCATTCCTCACTGCTGGAAGAGAAGGTCTCTAGTTTCCTACTCATTAACTACACGTTGTCACGAAAACATTTTCATAAAAACAATGACTGGGCCAAGGGAATGTGTATTTCAAGTTTATGAATGTAGCCATTTTTCAGGTGTGTATAACACATATACTCACTGAGCTACTAGATTTAAGGAACTATTTTCAAATTATACTTGGATGATTTTTATTTCTTTTTTTTTGAGGGGGACGGGATAGTTTCCCTGTGTAGACTGGCTGTCCTGGAACTCACTCTGTAGACCAGGCTGGCCTAGAACTCAGAGATCTGCCTGCCTCTACCTCTTGAGAGCTGGGATTGAAAGCATGTACCACCACTGCCCAGCTTATTTTTTTGTTTGTTTTTGAGACAACGTCTCAAATATAGCCCAGGCTGGCCTGGAATTCTATTTGTAGACCAAACTGGTCTTGAATTCTGCTGCTTCTGTTCTGCTGGGACTGGGATTAAAGGCACGTGTCACCAGTCCAGCTAGCCCTGCTCTCAAAATCTTGTGGAGCCTGTACCGACCTGGGCATATCTTTGTGACTCTTTGAGAAACCCACACCCCTGCTCCTGATTGACCTACTTTATTCTGAGTATCTCCTTCTTCTTCTTCTTCTTCTTTTTTTTGCTTTTGCTTTTATGAGAAAGGTCCTGGAACTTGCTCTGTACGCCAGGCTGGCCGGATGGTTGTAGCGCACAACTTTAAAATTCCAGCACTCAGAGGCAGAGGCTGGTGGATCTATGAGCATTTTTTTCTTGACCCTGGTACTTAAGTCTGTATCGAAATATTTTTATTATACCCCAACTCTGCTTCATTTAAAAAAGTAGAACTGAAAGGATTTGGGTGTGGAGGTACATATTTGCATCCCAGGCTGAGACAAGAGGATCTGGAATTCAAGGGCAGCCTCGGCTACACAAGACTCTCTTCAACATCCAAATAAAACATTTCCCCCCAAATCTCTCAACTGCTATCAACCTGCAAATAGCAGAAACAATTTTATTCATTGGTTTATAAATACTTTTTGAATTGACTAGTCCTCCACATTTATAATCATCAGGTAAGGTTTTTTTCGTTTGTTTGTCCTCCACCACCCCCCTGCCCTGAGACAGTTTCTCTGTCTGACAGTCTTGTCCTGGCTGTCCTATAACTTGCTTTGTAGATCAAACTGACCTCCAACTCACTGAGATCCACCTGCCTCTGCCTCCCAAGTGCTGGGATTACAAGCGTGCACCACCACCACCCAGCTAGAATTTATAAACATTTTAATTTTCTTTTAACTACTTAGCTGTTAACACTTACTTCCCTACATTTGGCATTTATATATCACATACTAAATATTTCAAGATAACAAGGAAGTTTTTACTTACCACAAAATGGGATCATTAGCAAGTTCACTGAAGCGTTTACACACACAAGCAGCTCTACAAAGATCCTGTTCCAGTAAATAAGAGAAGATTTTTAAAACTACTTCATCTGGCAGTTTCTCCTGAAGATATTGTTCAGCAGGTGCTGCTAAAGAGAGATTAATAAACAAAATGTAAACAATTCATTTATCAAACAATGACTTCCTCATTAAATAATAGCTATTTTATCTAGCAAACGGCTAGTATTTTGATGACTTATATTTTCCTTTTATCTTACATGTATGTGTATACACCAACACACACACACCCCAACACACACACAATGGCTTTTGTTTGTTTTATGTTTAAGGCAGTCTTGAAAAGTTTCCTAGGCTGGCCCTGAACTCACTAACTTAGTCAGGCCCTTAATTTCCCAACCCTCTAACCCTGTACATATCCACATTAGCCTCCCAAGTAGCTGGGGTTCATGGTTATACTACTCGGCCTGGCTTAAAAAAAAAAAAAAAAAGACTTTTATATAAAAATAAGATAGGGGCTGGAGAGATGGCTTAGCATTTAAGAGTTGGTACTGTTCTTACAGAGGACCCATATTTGGTTCTCAGTAGCCATAACCAGAAGCTCACAACCCCCTGTAAATCCAGCTCCAGGAAACCTGATGCCTTCTTCTAGCCTATCAGGCAACTGTAATACCCTCCCCACAGAACCACACACATCCATAATTAAAAATAAATCTTTAAAAAAGGAGGAAAATAGTTTTAGTAGTAACTACTCCTAACATATTCAGATATTTAATTAAAAACTTTTGTCATCAAATATCTATTTATTTATTTATTCATTACTTGAGATAGGGTGTTTTATGTAGCCCTGGCTGTCCTGGATCCTCTATGTAGACCAGGATGGCTTTGAAAACTCATTTTTTCTTACTCCTTAGCTTCCCATTCAAATACCTGATAGATCTTGTGACTTCCCAGACACTCTTGCACGCTTTGCTCGATGACCAAAGTTTTCTGTAGTTGAAGTTGAGGCACCCTTCAGAACCAGAAAAAAAAATTATCAATCAAGTATTTCTATAGTATATAATTACCTCTCAAAACTGTGTCCCCTCTCTCACAATTCTTTCCTTACAAAAACAATTATAACTAACTGACCTCCATACTGTTCTTTGTAGGACACGCTGTTCTTTTTGGCAAAAGAGTTTTTCTACGAAGTTGGTATGGACTATTTTGTGCACCAGGACCTGATTCTTCTGCAACCATATCTGCAGGAACATCATCTGAAAGAGAGAAAAGAAAAATGGTATTCAATTTTCTAATAAAAATTTCAAATTTGGCAAGAGATAGGAGGAAACAGAATTTTTGTATGGAATTCCAGTCAATTGAACGACTACCTGACAGATGTTAGAAGTCTTTTAAAGCTTAGAAGACAGGCTGGGCAGTGGTGGTGCATGCTTTTAATGACAGCACTCAGGAGGCTGAGACAGGCAAATTTCTGAGAGTTCGAAGTCAGCCTGGTCTACAGATTGAGTTTCAGGACAGGCTCCAGAGCTACACAGAGAAACCCTGTCTCAAAAAACCAAAACAACAACAACAACAAAAAAAAACAAAACAAAAAGCTTGAAAGACATTAGGAAAGTGAAGAGATACCTAGTTAAGGAGAGAAGAGGGTGGAACAGGGAGGTGAGGGGAGCAGACCAACAAGGGGCACCACTGAAGAGCAGAGCAGAGGAGGCGTCACTTCTGCCGTCAGTACTGTGTACTAGATACCAACAGGTAGAAAGGATACCCAGAGGGTGCGCTGAGGTCTGGTGCTAGAGATCCAAAGTGTGGAAGAAATCTGCCTGAGGAAGGGGAAGACAGAAGGTGAGGGAGACCGGAAGGAAGGGAAGAGTCACACAGCAGAGGTGATGGCAGAGAAGGAGTATAAGTAACAACAGAGTGATACAAGCGTCAAATAAATACACAGGATAATGAAAGCCATATTTCTGTTAAAGAAAACAGCTGTAAATATAAAAACACAAAGCATGGATAAGCCCTTTGATGTTGAGACTGGAATTAAAGGTATAAAGTGTGCTCTCATGATTTTCAACCACAGGATATAGAAATACAGATGTAAATATTTAGATGTGCATGGAAAGTGTGCCTATCATCCTTAGCTCTCTCCACATCTAAGAATGCAAAGCTTCCAAAAGTAATGAGCATGACTAATAATAGTTGGATCTTGCTTCTGACTACTAACATTTTTTTTATAAAAGTAAAATTTCATACTCATTGGAAAAAAATGGTAGATCCCAGGGCTGGGGCAGAAAAAGTACAAAATAAACCGAGAATAACTTGTTGCAGAAACTACTCAAAAAGTGATGAGGTCATATAAAATGAGGTAGAAGTGAACTTGAAAAGGCAAAATTATGCTGGAGCATCAAAAGAAACCAAAGCAAATGTATAATCCATAAACTAACAATGAGGAAAATATGACAAGTATAGTACTTAAAGTTATCTACCCAGAGATTACAAAGTGAAACAGGATAAATGTCAACTGTGTTAAAAGCTCAAAGTTAACATCATTAATAAGACAAATAACTGAAACTGAAAACCTGATAGCATAATAGAATTTCTATGATATCCCTGATAAAGATGCATAAGGAGAATTATGAAGAATCAAACAAGCCTAAATTTGTTCTATGAAGTAAAATGGTTTCTGTCAAAACACAACACAAAAGTTGTTCTGTGGGACTCAAAGAGACAGGGCAACTAAATGCAACATATGGTTCCTGAGGGAAGAATGCTACTTCACTCCCACACCACCAATTAGTGAGACCTGGAAACCTAGAGACTGGAAAGAAGGATGTGTTTAACTTCATGGTTCTTGAGGACAAAGTCTTGTTTGTAGGACACATATATTCACAAAGTAGGATGTAAAAAGGTGATTTAACTTTTAAAGGACTGAATACTCTCTATAGCTAATTCTCTAAGTTTGGATTAAAAAAAATCTTACAAATTTCAATCTAAACAAGCCAAAAGAAGAAAGACAGAAAAAGACTGCAATACATTACAAAGGGAAAATTTGTTCACAAACCAATACATGATCAACAGGTTGTAGTGGTAAATAAGATGTGGACAGACAGTTCTAAATTAAGGAAATACAAATAAAAACAATGAGATAAATAAATGTATATAATCACACACACACACCGGGTTTTTTGAGACAGGGTTTCTCTGTGTAGTCCAGGCTGGCCTTGAACTCAGAGATCCACCTGTCTGCCTAAAGGCATGTTCTGCCACCCTCAGGATGATTTTATGTACCACATTACCAAAAATACAAAAGACAGTTTACGTATTAGAACCATCAAAGACAAGAGGAAAGACTCTTCATTGCTTTCAGAAGGCAGTATGGCAAGCTCTACTCTGACAGTTGCAAACAGCTGTCGCCACACACATGACAAAGCAGTAGCATGTACCAAGACATTTGTCACAGTAGCTGTCCTACAAGACAGCAGCCAAAATGTTCACTGTCAGACAGCTCACAATGGAGTACTGTGTAGCTGTTACAACATATGAAGCAATTCTATAGATACAGTGTGATGAAGCACTGCCTCCACTATACAGAGTGGCATACAAATTAGGGCTGCCAGCACTCTGGTGGCAGAGGCAGTTGGATCTCTTGTGAGTTCAAGGCCAGCCTGATATAAAGAGTTCCAAGACAGCCAGGGATACAGTCAGGCCAGACAAAATACCCAAAACAAAACAGCAAACAATCAGGGCTGAAGAATGTAGAGTGCCCATTATGTACAAGGCCCAATACTAAACTAAGACAAAACAATTAAAGTATACAACCAAACAAAAATCCTGTACTTATATCTACACATGGAATTTGTTTGTAGTTCAGGGACATACACACACACTCTCTACGGGACAGGAAGTTAGCAAAAAGAGGCTCTTATTGGCTAAAGGAAAGAAATGACTCGAGCAATGGGTCAGCGGTTAAGAGCTCTTCCAGATGACCCAGGTTCAATTCCTAGCACCTACACTGGTAGGTGTTCACAACTCCAGTTCCAGGTGATCTGGTGCCTTCTGGCCTTTTCAAGCACTAGGCATGCATGTGGTGTAAGACATACATACAGACAAAATACTCCAGTTCATAAAATAAAAAATTTGTTCTTCCTGGTTTAAAATGAACCATCAGATGGCCAATAGACAAGAAATGTCTCCCCTACAGACACACACTCCAGAAGAAAATAATAAAACTGCAGAATCACTGCTTTGCAATTTTTAATGAATTAATAAATTCAGCAATTGAAAAATCAATCATCCTTAGTATAACTAAAAGAGAAACCAGACTTTCTTTTTCCTCAAGAAAGAAGCCCGAGACATAGCAGCAAAATGAGCGGAGAGCTTAGCTGTTAATATTTCATTTAAACATTGTTTTTAGCTGGGTATCGGGCGCATGCTCATTATGTCAGCATGCAGAAGGCTAAGGCTGGAGGATCAAGAGTTTGAGGCTTCTCTGGGATATATAACAAAATGTATTCTTTTTGTTGTTTTTGTTTACCTTTTTTCAAGACTGGGTTTCTCTGTATAGCCCTGGCTGTCCTCCTGAGTGCTGGAAGGCGTGCACCACCACTGCCCAGCACAGAAAGTGTTCTTTTAACACCATTTTAATATGGTTCAATTACAGTCTGTTCTTTCTTGTGAGTTGGGTTAGTATGGTTATCTACTAGCTTCAGAAAGAAATAGGCTAAAATCTCCCACTGTGTCTCTAGGTAATCTATTTAACCTATAAGCCTTTATTCTATATACTCCAAAATGTTAAGTGGATACAGATCAAGATTATTAATTCCTGGCACATTACTCAATGTATGTGCTTCATTCTTTATGTAATAGCTCTTTTTATTCTTTTCGTAAAGTATCCTAAGTATCATCTTAGGCACTACCACCACCCTTTCTGAGACAGAGTTGTGTTATATAACCATATATCCTTGGAACTAGTGATGTACACCTTTTGGCCTCAAACTTGGAATGACCATCCACCTGCTCTTCCCTGTGGTTTAAAGCCATGCAATATCAACCTTAATTTTTGAAAGTTGATTTGACTTGTTTGCTAAATTTTCATCATGCTTTACCCATCCCGTCTCCCTTCAAGTGCAACAAGTATGCTTACCCACCGAGTCATCCTCACAGGTCTCAGATCACAGAGTCAGGACACACAAGCCCAGTGCTACTACTGCAGCATCTCCTACTCACTGTTTGGGCTCTCTCATTCCCAGCACCCACTCCCCTTCCTCCTTCCTCAGGGTTCAGCTAAAATTCAGTGATGTCACTCTGCTATGTTTGGAGTATATGCATACATTGGACTGGTACTTCTATCAGCCTAGTTTAGCCATGCTCAGAATAATGTTATTAAGACTCAAATTACAGTATCAACTTTGTTATTCTACATAAACTCCCTCTACTTACACCTTCATCTTTTTATTGAAGTGATCACCCACCCATCTGCGCTGGAATTTTTTTTCTCCTATAAGTAGAACAAGCATCAAAGACTTCAAAGAAGCAAAGGAGGACATTTCAGTTATCACTGTCTCTATGATTTGTCCTTGAGTATGTACCACATCTTCCTTACTGTAGTATTGTGACTGTAGTGGTTTGAATAAGATGACCACCACAGACTCATATATTTGACAGCTTAATTACCAGGGAAAGGGACTCTTAGACAGGATTAGAAGGATTAGGAGGTGTGGCCTTGTTGGAGGAAGTATGTTACTGGGAGTGGGCTTTGAGATTTCAAAAACCCAAGCCAGACTCAATGTCTCTCTGCTTGCAGATCAGCATGTAGCTCTCAGCTGCTTCTCCAGCATCACATCTGCCTGACCCATGCTTCCCACAATGATGATAAAGGCTAGAACTAAGCAAGCCCCCAATTACATGCTTTCTTTCATAAGAGTTGCCTTGGAACCAGGTGTGGTGGCACACGTCTTTAATCCCAATCCCAACACTAGGGAGGCAGGCATATTGTAGAGTTCAAGGCCAGTCACTACACAGTGAGTTCCAGGAGAGCCAGGGTTACACAGAGAAACCCTGTCATGAAGCAAAAAAGTTGCCTTAGTGACATTTTTCTTCCCAGCAATAGAACAGTGATAAAGACAGTTGCCTTAATTATTTTTACCTTAGCTGTAACATCTTAACAAAATTATAATCTCTGAAGACAAGGGCCCTTTTTTATATCTTTTTTCACTGTTTCAGCTCAGTACCTATAGAGACTCAGTAAATGTTGGTTACTCTC